AATTGGTGCGCGAGTTAAAAATAAGTAGTTTCCCAGCCGAAATTGGCTGAAATGACGATAGTTATCCGTAACAACCATTACTGAGATGTCTTTAAATAACAACTAGTAAAGACAGACTAACTGTCAACGCGTAGGTACCGGAGGAATTATCCACCAAACGCCGCCATTTTTAATTTCATTCACGCGAGAGAATGCGTTTGTTTTTAAGGCAAAGTAGCCGATTTCATCCACAATTGGACTCCGAACTGGGAGTTCTGGATATATCTGGTAATCGATCATCATTTTTGGTACCTGGGCATGTTCTTTCATTAAAAAAAGTTATATTTTTCAAAGTCCCGAACTTTGTCTATGGAAGTTCGCAGGGCTGTGGTGGGGACATCTATCAACCGAACGCGTCCCCGTACGCACAGCACTGTACGCAGGGCAAGGTAGAAGAGAAGACAATTAACAGTTTTAACTTAAAACTAAAATTTTCTAGTAGACATGTGAAAAGGGCAAGATTAGAACACAAAAAATATTTACTAACCTTTGACTGAAATGTACAATAGAGATGAGTCAAGAATGGATGTTGCCATGCCAATGCTAATACCCGCCTTTCAATCATAGTGCATTCAATGTCATCATCTTCTAAAACCACATCTTTTTTAAGTGTCTTTACTGCAAAATATTTATCTGTTCCTTTTAGTTCTGCTAACAGCACCTGAGTGACAAAAAGAAGTATCGACATTTAGAAAAGATTGTGTGAGTTTTGAAAATGTTTGCAGCATTCTCCCCAACCAGCAAAATCTTCAAACATGACAGCTATCTTCTTATTAAAATATCGAAAGTGCATATTGTTAAGACAATTAAGTTGTAACAGTAAAATTAATTTACATATAAATAACTGTTTGGTGAAAGTCAAGCATGGCATTTTTCTGGCAGGCATGATAAAATTACTTGTCACTACTGGTAATCTGAAAACTATGAATATCAAAAAAAAGGAAGACATTGCATGAGTACATTTGTATTTACCTTTCCGAAACTACCCTTTCCTAAAACTTTGAGAAAATTGAAGTCTGTGTTACAAAATCTTCTGACTTCCTGAGGAGGTACTGCAACTGCTCCTCTAAGACTGGTGGTACGCTGAGGGGGTGGTGGACCTACAGCCTCCCACATAGGCTCATATACAGCTCTGAAAAAAAATGTTAATAAGTAAAACTTGTTCTTGTTTGGCTTCTGATATTGTAACCAATCAGTTGGTTAAAAAAAAGTTGGTCATAAAAATCACATGTAATGTTCATTGTTTTATTATATCAAATTTTTTGAACGTTTTTGATACCCAGTTTTTTGAAATAATTCACCACAACAAATAGTACACCATCAGTCACAATATATAATTTTGTCATCCTAAGTCATCAGCCTACAATTTATCCACCATAAGAGCCAATGGTAAAAACCTTGTACCAACAAAATGGCCGCCATCCACTAAAATACACATGTACAACCAAAAACAATAGGCTGGTGACCCCCCCCCCCCCCAACTCAAAATACTTGTATTGACCAGGAATATTTTTAATACATTGCAAAATGAATAAATTCTTGGTATTCATGATTAGCCTTTTAAAAACAGAATTAAGAAATCACCTTTCATCGTCATCATCATCATCATCATCATCTTCATCATCAGCACCAGGAACCATTGGATATTCAGAATTTGATCTTGTTACCCGTGCTTGCTGTAACAAATTATCAAAAACTTAAAATTAAACCACAATAAAGAGATGACCTCTTAACTAAGTACACCACATAAATTGGTGTTGTTAGTGGTTAACAATATACTTTGTTATATCTCACCTCCACTGCATCCATGGCTTCAGCAAGTAATTTCTGATTGACGCCGCACAAGTTGGGCACCAGTTTCTTGCACTTATGATGTACGTTTACTGCACAAACTGAAAACAAATAAACATAGTTAAGATCCTTCTAATAAATATGTGGGGGTTCAAGTGGTGAACCTAATTATGCTATGGACATTAAAGAATTGATAAATGTAAAAATGTCACACAGTATAATATACTTGTGTATAGTAATGTATCATGTATCTGAGCTGCACCAGGATAATAGGAAGGAAAAATTATATGTAGATCTCTAAATACTGCTTTTTGAAGCCTTCTGAACATTGTGGTGCTTTAATAAGCTATTAAATTCATGCACAAAGCTTTCAAATTTTTTTTTTCTATAATTTGTTCATTTATGATTAAATTATCTTTTTCTGCTACAGGTTGTGATACAAACAAATTGAAAAAAAGGGGGGGGGGAAATGTGTAAATGTTTAATCCTTTAATTCGGTGCAAATATTTTGTAAAATTTTGTAAAATAATCACTGAATTTCGTCATCATTTTGAATAATACAGACTGTTTCAGATCGTCCTTTTAGTTTTTGATCAAAAGATTTGGCAATTTTTTTTATCAATATTTATTAAGTTAGGAGTAGACTACAACATCATTTTGTAGATGGTGCCGAAAGTTTACAATGGCTCTCAATTGGAGGGATGAATGAATGTCCAAATATAACAGTATTTTTGGGGCCTTTCATAACAAGGTACTTAATAAGTGAGATATGCACTATGGAAGTATCAGCATGGTTTAAGGCTTTGTTATTATGTAGCATTTTCACCAGCCAATGCCTAACCATGACTACATGTATAGTATTAGTTTACAGGTGCATTCTCAATGTCAATTCAATAACCCCCCCCCCCCAATTTTTGTTTATATACCCAGTCATATGTAAACTATTGCAACATAATTTACAGGTGTTTCCAATCACATTTATGAATAGACCATTTTCCGTACACTGCGAGAATCACGCGTTATTCGTGAAATCGAACGTAAAAACAGGACAAACAAAGGTCATAGCGTCGTAGTCGCGTCAAACATCGCGTGGGATTCGACAAACGCGAAAGTATTTCGGGGACATTTCCATGCTTAATAATGTGCTGTCCACATTTGATGATAGGCAATTTCGATTAAGTGAGGGTATTCGGAAGCAATATTCCTCTGTCGAAGATCGGCCGGTCAATGTAAGCTGCGAAATAAAAAATTTCTAGTTCAAAATCAAATCGTTCGATTTTTGCGGCAGACGCGCGTCTTTCATGCATCTCGCGAGATCTCGCAATTGTTCGGAAAATCACCTATTCCACCAGTAGGAATACTCACAATTTGTTGGAAGTACATTTACATTGAGTTTGAGAAACTGTGTGTGGTTTGGATGATAACACAGGAGTGATAGCTTAAAGTATTTGTGTCATATCCAACTATAGGATGTGATCACCCAGAATGTACACTTATAATTCAGTACTGTATACTAGTTCATTTCAAGGAAGATCTCTACAATGTTTTCACTGTCTTACCTTCACATTTCACACCTTGTCTGAATAATCCATACAGCATTGTACCACAGTGATCACAGAAAGTGGGACTCATATAGTTGTGAACTTTAAATCTATGAGGCATGTCTACTTTAAAACGTTCTTTGAGTCGCTGTAAAGAACCATGTGGATTAAATAAATTAGAATAGGTACCGATGTATATTTATTTCATCATTCTATCATATTTCGGGATTGAGAGTCAACATTCAAGAATGTATGAAAATTGGGCATGTACCAACAAATGGTGAAGCAATTCTGAGAAATTTAGCACAAATGATGTATTCATGCATCATACTCGCTTAGAAACAAAAACTAATATAGCATGGAAAACACAGCTTAGTTATACAAAATGTTTTGGAATATTCTACTATTTTTTTTGATGCTGCCAGTCAATCGTAAGATAGTGGATTGATTTATTCCACAAGTTGAGACAAATACTGTATATAACGGACAAGTGACTATGATTATATATATCCCAATACACGTATTTTGCTGAAGTTCAGTGAATAATACAGTATTAGTACATTTTCAGATACAATGGAAAATTACATTGAAATCTGTTGGCATTACATCTACACCCTTTAAATCGGTCTGTCAAGGTAAACTACTTGAAATAGTAAATTTAACGCAACTACCGTATTAAAGGCTATCAACGCAATTATGTTGGCAGCAAAAGATAATGTAGAAGACTGACTACAATAATTCTATTGATGATTCTATGCTACACTGTTTGAAGCTCGTATACTATCTTCTATAGAATCGTCATCTAATGATGGCTGCAGGGAATCCATAACTCTGATAATATTATAATGGTATCAGTCTACTCCTATATATTTATGCTTTAAAGTTGCACTCTGATAGCTTTCATTTATTGGACTCTTGAGAATATTATGTGACATATTTGATAGTCTGAATTTGTGTGAATTATGGGAAATGACAAATAAGTTTCCAATTGATGTATGTTAATAATTCACAAAGATTCACTTCTGTTCTGCATTACTGTGGGTCACAACATTCTGGTGAATCCACATTTTTTTTCTCTCGAAATGCATGCGAATTATTATAGTCCTAAGGCATCAGTAAACCTCTGCTCTCCCTTTCAAACAGCAGTTCCCTTTTTTCATCACAAAATTGTCTTGTTTATCTTCCTTCAGAAGATTAAGGCAGAAATAGTCAAATTTTTGGAGTAAAAACCTAAAATTAAATCAAATTTTGTCTGTTGGCTCCCAAATTAGGCTTCATTTCCAGAAATATTAAAGAAGAAAGTCTGGTGGTGAGAAGGTTATTAAGGCAGTACTACAAATTGACTCACCTTGGTATCCAGTGTTTCTACACCAGTTCCTGGACATTTAGTCAAGATCTTTTTATGGCACTTCCTATGCACAGCCATTGTGCATTCTGCAAGAGAGAAATAATACCTTACAGAAATTGTATACAATAAATTTCATATAAATATAACAAGACAACTCTTAATTTCAGGGATTTTACTTCATAGAGGCAATTGTCTTTATGCCTAAGAAGTTTGTCTCGTTACCCTTATAAATATACTGGAAATATACTGATTTTCTCCAACACTATTCCTAAAGGTATAAAGGCAATTTCGTTAAAGTTCATGCTTTGTCAATTCCTAAATTCAAGCATAGTTTTTAGGTGAACTTGTAAATGTATTGTGGGTAATATTTCATTATTCTTTTTGTATGCCAAGATTTGGTTGAATGGGTAACCATATTAACATGGAAACAAACTATGAACTATGTTCCTAGTACACGTATATGAACAACTTCTGATTAATATTAGAAATTTAGAAACATGAAAGAAGTGCTTTTTAACAAAGAGAATGATTTTTGTTATTTTTTCAAAGGTTTAATACAAAGCTAATATGACCTAGTAGAAGGTGACTCGCATGTATATAATAGAGTTACTTTTATGACACAACAGATAAAGATAAAGATAAAAGGCATTTATTTGGCAAAAACAGGAACCACGCTGCAATAATACTAATTTCACCTGAATAGAAATATGTGAATAAAAAAATGAACACCTACCTTTACACTGATAGCCTTGTTTACCAAAACCCCTGTGAAAGTGACATAAATGTTACGTAACAATTAATCACATGATTCCATGACGTTAGGGCACTATCAGTCACCTTATCAAAAGACAGCAGGATTGAACATGACACTTTCAGGATCTTTAAAAAGCCTATTTTTATTTTTTATGTATGTTTCTATAAATATTTGGATAATGTAAGATCAAATGGACATTTGAATGAAGGTCATGAACAAGTTTGTTTTTTTCAAAATATGTGGAAACAATTATGCAGCTTGATTTTGTGAAAGATGTTATGTTATTCATGGACCCTTCATTTGGGCAAGTTGTGGCCAGCAAGATTTGTCCACACATTTTGTGTGTTACTATCATAAATTACTTCTAAACCACGTACAAATGTAAGCAGAGTAATGTTGTCTGTGAAAACACCAGTTAGAATAAATTTGCTTTCTTCATAAACTCACCATAAAAACTCACTGCAAAATGAACAATATGCAGGCTGGCGAAAAAACTTTGCAAGAAATTTGTGCCCTCGGTGGTCATGTATCTTAGCATGACGAATAGCTCCTTGACGTCGCGCCAATCCAAGAAGTGGCCTCTGGGAACCAGCATCTGGTATGTGTGTCTCCGGATCTGAACAATTCAACATAAATTATTTTGTCACATATCATGGTTTTAAAAGTGTAGTGGTTTTTCTTTTCAATGAACTATTAATATGTGCAGAATTTACACAAAATTAAATGCACATCAGACCTTTAATGTAAATTGTAAAGGTCAAAGAACCAGCAATCTTCCCATGTAGTTAGTTGAACTCAGTGACAGATGCAAAATTAAAACATAGAAATAAGCCATCAACTGTATTCAGATTGTTTTCAAAACATAGAGGGTGCTGTGAATATGAACAGATATCTACCATCTGAATTATATTGATCAGAAAACTCAATAAGAACATTTCTACTAATGTGTTCATGTATGACATCATAATAGGAGCCCTCAGTGTTCAATGTAAAACATATGAACCAGTAATATGTATTGAGCTCTTTAAACATGATTTTATTTTCTTGTTCATTCCAACCAATGAAACAAGAGTAAAATGACTAAAAAATCTCTTTAAATTTATGCTTAAAACAAATATAAAAAATTAGGATATTTTTACCTCCATCTTCAGCAAAGTGTCTAACTTGTATAAGAACTCGCCCGGTTGGTTGTAAATCCAACTAAAAAATAATATAATTGAAAAGAAAAATTACAAATAAGCATTGGTTTTAATGTTTGTGCAGGAAAGTTATTACATTTTAATAGTACATGTACCAAATTTTTTCTTATTAATAGTGCAATCAATTTACAGAGGTATTTCTATTGTCAAAGTGAATCATATTTTAGCAATTTTTGGTTTAATGTGCTTTTAGTGGAGATGCACTTCTAATAGAGCAAATACAGTATACATCAAACCACAGTTTTCACAACCATCTCACATTTTGTTTCATGATGAACTAAAGCATGATTAATTACAACTGATATTATGTAGACAAACATGCCAGTGCTGATCTGTTCTGGGTTCCCTATATAAAATAAAATGTCCTTATTAAAATAAAAAGCATAAAACAAATTCAGCAGCTTATTTTATTTATGAAGTAATATCTGGCCAAACCAAACATTATTATTATGTGTCAAACTATTGGAATAATTAAGGTAAAATTTGCAGAAACATTTGGTTGCAATGTGATAGTTTTGATGCGATTTCAGGTCAGGTGTCATTGAGGTGAGCCTTCTTCTTTTTAAGGTGGAATTCACAATGTAATCTTTTGATCAGCTGGGCTACCAGGTCTAATCAATTTGGTTAATCTTATTTCCTATATTCTCAGTGGGTGGAGATCCAGGTATTTTCACTAAGCAAAGTTCAAAAATTATTAGTACTTTTGGTTAGTTGTTGAGACTTTCCTGTACAGTACAACAAGAATATCCCTACATCAGCAACATATATAAATTTGGTTGCTAAGGAATACTTCAAAGTTTAGTTTGTGCTGTTTTCTCAACTTTGGCTGTTTTCACCAGCGTTTCGACCAGATCAACATGCAGTAGCTCCGTAGCTATGCTCCTGTGAATAGTCTGCTGGAGGTAGTCAAATTAGCTGATCAAAACCAGGGGATGTAGACAACATTGACTGTATCCATAAAAATGGCGTTGAAATAAAAAAATATTTCTAGAGATGAATAATAGAATAAGTATAATTAAAATTGCAGCAACCAAATGAAATACCACATAAAGTGGTATCATATGTTACTCTCACACAGTGGTTTTGCACACTTCCTACTCTTTGGAATACTTTGAAGTGAGTCTGCATGCTTTTTGAAAACATTTTAATAAGAGTGCTAAATTAGGGAAGATGATGGATAACCATTGGATAACCATTTTGAGAATTATTTTTTAAACATTTCACAACAAATTTATACAAGCTTTTCATTTTATTATAATCGAGCAAAACAAAAATAATTCTAGTCAAAAAAAATGCTGTGTACAAGCAATGTCAAAATATACGAGGGATGGATTTGAAAGAACTGCTAATGTAGTGTGATTTTGTACCATATAGTACCAAAGATAACAGTGGATTTGAAAATTACATTGCAAGTGTTTAGCGATTTTACTACTGTAGTATGAACAGTAAAGGACCGGCTAAGTACATTGTATGTATTCAATCATAGATTATTGAGATTGCCATCACCACTACATGCAGAGTCGTATTTTCTTCAATGACATGCTTTTTGTGTGTTCACTGACAATGTCATAACATGGATATCTGCACCATGGTAAAAATAGAAAACTATCTACCGGTAATTTATCAACACACATTGATGTCTATTCAATACCAGTACATATTATACAATGATTTATAACATCCTTTCACTTTCATGCATATGGCTCATTATAATAAAATCCAGGGTCCAGTGAAACCATTGCAACTAGTTTGTTAATATGCAGTCAACTGTGTGAACATTGGAAAACGGGGACATTGGTAATCTCACCTTTGTGTACACATGTGTCCCTCAGATATGTAAACTTCACACATTGCACATCACGTCATACATGTACTTCATACATGTATGCACTTGCATTTGTTTTATGATCCAATTGAAAATGAATGAATGACGACTATTTTAATGTCTCAGTTGTGCATAGACATATTTAAGTTGAATTGTATATGTACATTAACATAATTAGTCCTTGATATACATAACTTTTTTCCAGACCAAATTCAAAATGGCCGACTGGAAAGCTGTTTTGTTTCACGGAATGCCGTTCTAGGGCTATATTTTTAAAATGCCTTACATATGCATTTATTTCATATTCCAGCTATTTACATGCTATTAAATTAAATACATGCCATGTTTTACTTTACTCATTTGATACACAAAGTTAATTTGGCCTCATGCACAAAGAATGAGGAATACTTGTTGCATTGCATTGATCAAGTTTCAACATTATCATAAACCTCAAATAGTTAACTTACCCACATGCCAACAATACTATCATTTTTCCCTTTAGCCTTGTGCGCCAAAACATCAACACCAATTGTCACTTCAGCCAGCATTTTATTTGGTCTATTCATGATGACAATCTGGACAACTCTCCCATCGTACACGTGAGCGTCAAAACATTTATTCCAATCGGGATAAATTGTCTTTTTCTTTTGTACGAGCTGCACTCCATGACCTAAATGATGGAATGGAAGAGAAATGAATAAAAGTATGACTAATGTATGGCTTACATCATTATTAAACCTTTGAGTGCAAAAGTCAAAATAGTTTCATTTATAGTCTGCTATTTTTCACTGAAATGTTGGCAAAAATTCAAATTTTCTGATTAAAAAGTAGAAGCAATGTCACATTTTGTCTGTTTGGTTATAAATTAAAAATTCAGTTTTATTGACGTGAACATACAAATTTCATAATTATGCTCATTCTTATTTTATTCATACTGCATGTAACCCCTTGAGGAGTCACAACATGATGGTGCTGTTACACTGAACACAAGAGTATTCACTTTGAACAGCAGCTAGGTCAATGTTATTGTTTCAACACAAAAACCCACAAATGATATGGATATTAAAGGGGTATATGTACATTTCGTGACAATCACTGAGTGATTCAATCACATAACATTGTCTCCTTTCCAATTGATATGCAAATGAGATGATGAAATGGCAGCTCAGTGAGACCTAGAGAGGAATTTTCAATTTATGAAGTAACTGACAATTAATTATCAATTTTACATGATTACATTATTTGTCATTAACTTACATATGCAATAGATCTAAAAAAAAAATTCTAGGAGTTATCAGTTTTTAGATTAGTTTTCTTTAATATGTAAACTGGTTAATTTTTGTAGTTTTTGCAATTCAATAACTGAAAAGACAAAACTTGATGTACAACATCTTTTGTATTGGGGATAAAAAAAATGCATTTATACTGAAGTGGAATTCATTATTATCTAATTTGAAGTGTGATCCGATGGGGTTGATATCACTGAAAAAAGCATGATTTTTTTTTCATTTAAAGAAAAAAATATCAATTTTTATAAAGGTAAAACAACTAATGGAAGCGTTTTAACAATTTTATGATAACAGATAAAATGTATTACATATCTTCTCGTGCAATTATATAAAATTGTCCTTCCAATTGATATGCAAATATGATGATGGAATTGCAGCTCAGTGAGATGCAAGATCTAGAGACTAATTTCTATCATTAATAGCCACAAGAATTTCCAATTTACAAATTTACTGATAATTAATTATGTTACATGATAATTTGTCATTCACTTGTTAACAAATACTTCAACCTTTTCATCACAAATTCACAAAATAGTACTGTTTATAGTCTGTCTGCACTTTCCTTCAAATATTGAGAAAAATAACCAAATTGAAAACCGAAAAAAATACTGAAAATTGACTGAAATTTTGTCTGTTTGCTCTAAAATTAGGGTTCATTTCCTGGAATATTGAAGAATACATGTATAAAAAAGTGCTGAAAAATTTGGCCAAAAAAGGTTGAATCATCTACGCATAGCTCTTGAAAATTGTACATACGGTAATAGTTACCAGCATTGGGACGTTTTGGTTCAGTTTTCCAAATCTAACACTTGTAGGAAGTACAGATATACTGTAAATCAGTTAAATTTTGATACCATCAATATTTGCAATTAAAAATGTTAATGCTGCAATATTTTTCATTTTTATCTTAATTTTTGAAAGTTGTTAAAATTTGTCTCATGAAGCTGTTTGCAGTAAATCATAAAAGTTAGGTTGACATGACAACCAAATTATCCTCCTTATTGTGGTGAGAATATACACGACATTGGAATGTTTTCATGAATTGCATTATTGCATTAAGACATTCACAACGAAGATAAAACTTCAAATCTGAACACAATTCAGGACAAATTACATTGCCTTAGTTGTACAGAATGCAGACATAAATTCACTTGGCCAGGTATAAACTTTTCCAAAGTTTTTGTCAGTGTATTTTTCATATAAGACCCAAATAACACTCATGAAGTGTAACAGTCACATGGTTGGCACAGACTTGACATGCTATATTGGAGATAATGAGTATACCTGGATTTAAATTTACAAGTCAGTCTCTCATGTATTGATAAATATTTACGGGTTTCCTCATTTCGTATACAATAACAAAACTGTCACATCTCATAAATCATTTGCACTGTCTGTATGATTATGATTTTCCTTACGAAGATTGTATCATGAAGAGTAAATTGATTTCTCTATGGCATCCAGATAATTTAAGTCTGATCAAAAGAAGCTTAGAAAGAGCTCCTGTATGCCAGGGGGTATTGGAATAATAATTTGTAAGGTTGGCCGTTCAATCTTCATTTACCAGCAGAAAATGAGAGTTTTATATTCTTCTACCTTGGTGCTGCATTTCTTATTTTTTTGAACAGATCTTTTTTGGTTAAGTCATATAAAATAAATATTGAAAATCTTTTCAAGGCAGTACGCATAGATTTTATTACTTGTATCTCATCCCTGTACAATAGTAGCTTGACCAATATGTGAGGTAATCTACTTCCAGCACCATGACCTTCAAGATGAATCCGCTCTATAATAATATCAACCAAATTAAATTTCTCACGTAGTATATCTTCCACATGTCAGACAAACTTCTTTTTTTCTTTAGTTGGAACCCTACAACACGAAAATTATTCCGCCTTGAAAACCGTTCCTGAATATTCAACTGATACTGTTTGCGATCCAAGTGAGTTTGCTTTTTCTTGTTAATACACATAAGTTTGCGGTTCTCTGGAGGAATGCCAATTTGTTGACTTTGAAATTCAAATTCAGCACAAAACATTTTTTCATTTCTATTTTTACTACAAGCAGGGAATAGATGTACATGTATACACAAATAACTGTAACAATAAGACTATTATCTGCTGGGCATTGGGTGATACGATCACTGTACTGCATTCGTACATACTTGGTGGTATTCTCATAGTAGTAACTCACCCATAAACAAACTAATCAATAACAAGACATAAATGTCACAATAATGGTATTAGAAAAATGTAATATGTACAATGAACAAAATTGTGGATATGTTTGCTTATATTATCCAATGTATCAATTAAGATTCATCTGGAATTTGATCAGTCCATATGATACATGTACATTGTATCTAGGACTGATTCTGAATACAGAAGACTATATATATTCCATTATCTGCTTCATTGAACCTAAAACTATATACACGAGTAAATATTGTAATTGTTTAGCTCGTACACTGTCTTGCAAAGAAACAATATTCTATTTTTTTTTTAAATGTAGCGCTATGGGGCATTCATTATTGTGAGTATAAATCATCTATGACTGAACTGAAACATTTCATTTCTATTACCTTCATGTCATTTATCATTACAACCAGTTAGATTGGAACTCAGTAATTATGTCCAATATTTGTTTTTGCTATACACTAATTTCTATCGGTCGCAATCATCCTCTATATACCTAAATTCTGTAAAATTTTGAAAAACCAAGATATTATTTTTTTTGTATTTAAAAAAAATTGTAAAAACCTAGTAAATGTTCTAATGTATTTTCTCTATTAGAAGCAAATCTGTAATACATATACATGTAGAAGGGCACATATGCCAAAAATTGCATATATTATCTGCTAAATCATTAAAACAGGTCTTTAACCATAGAACACCTCTGTTTATTATATTCATACAAGGCTTACAATTTATGTTATAAAATCAATTTTATTTCTTGCAATATATAATATCACAGCTGCATACATCCCCAGTGGCAATGCAATTATATAGTCTTCCCAAATTTATAATATAATATGGCTGCACACACAATGTCTTTTCATTTCCATACTGTGATACATGTATAAGTTACAACAACATGGTTGAATTGACATTATCTGTTGACTATCTCAAAATCTAATTAAAATAAGATTTATTGGCTTTAGTGTGTAATTTTTTAGGGTATATGTATCAGGAAAGCCATACATGTACATAGACATGATATATCTACCATTGAATTTTTACTCATACATGCATCTGACAGTTTCACCATGTCCAAAAGGGATTCGGGTATGGAAGTAAAGCTTTCTCTGATTGGTTGAGCTATATTTACTTTGAAAACATCTTGTGAATGAGATCTTCTGTTTGAGTTAGTTATTGATGATACCATGGAGGTAAAAATAGATAACAGGAATTAGAATATTTGTATTTTAGCTATGCAAACAGGCTATATAAACAGGAAAGACAATGACGTTCTCACTCTTTCTACTGTATAACCATTTATTTTTACTGACATTTAATTTGACTATGTTGATATTTTGAGCATATTCACTGCGTTTTAAGTTCACTAGTTTGGCAGGGACACAATAAATTCTATTTTTATTTTACATGTTAATGTGGATTTAACTCAGTGAATTGTAGCTGTCAGTGAAAATAGCATGCATTCACAGTATTTTACCTGCATGATGAAACTGAACGTGTAACCAGCAAAAAATGGCTGAAAAGGCTAAAGGTAATTTTCGGGAAAAATTTTAATTTCTAGTTGAATTTGAAATTTGAAAAAAAATACATTGAGTACAGTTAAAGAGACTCATCATGCAGCACATTAAAATTCGATGCAAACAACGTAGAGTTGTACATGTCATATGGGACTCGTATCAAGCATTATATTCTGTCATATTCCATGGTAATATTAAGAAAACTATATTTATTTGATTTTAATACACATCGACTTCACGTAAATGTGGAAAGTAATCTTCAGGAGATGAGGTATTAGAATGGATTTCCAGAAAGTGGTGACCCTAATATAATATAATGTCAGAATTATTAAGCTCCTAGTGTAGTAATTGATCTGTGTTTTTCGTGAACAACAAATCACTTTAATTTTGCCTGCAACTGTATTTTATATCGTGAGATCAAATTTCACTTTTGTTCGTTAGACATAGATTACTTACCTGGTAGGTAAAATTTTGTTACATTACCAAATGTCAATAAATACCCAGCAGTAAAAGAACTAAAATTGGTGATACATGTATGAACATTTATATATCTCTAAATGTTGTCATATCAGAATTGTATCTTTTAATCTAAATCATGTAAAAGTAAACGTAAAATGCTTTAATTTCGTGATAGACAAATGTTTGCAAAATTTCGCAAGTCATTGAAAATCCACAATTTCTGTAGCATTAGGATTTTCTCTGATGTCCTACCGACAACACAGAGTGTCAATGTCTTACAGAAAATTTGTTCTCCATGGATGCCATAAAATATGAAAAGGTGAATATTTCTAGCTGTGAAAATAAATCGTTCACCGTGTGTGTATATGGCAATTTGGGTTATGGCAATCCTAATCTGAGCAAAATCAGATGTTAGTAGGTTTTTCTTCTTTCTTTTTTATATGTTTACGTGTTCATTTTTAAAAAAATATTTTTATAATCATAATTTTTCAAATTTTTTTCTAAATTCTATTTTTTAAATGCTCAACATATACCAGGGTACATGATATGGATATGTAAAAGCAGAAGAAGTCACATAAAGCAGTGAGTTACTCCAAAACAGCAAAATGTGCAATTCTTTGTCTTCCAGCCTGTGTGCTCAGGCATGGGGTTAATCTCAAACGTTAAGAAAATTCCCACTTTTATAGTGACAGAAAACTTTAATTCAGTATTCAAATACAACTAAACACATTTTACATTTAAAATAATTATTCAGAATTGTGAATTAAGATACAGGTAAATAACTTTGCATTATGTGGTTATTTTGTAGAAGTTTATGTTGAAGGGTCAATGGAAGGCAATTTTAGGGTGGCTTAGCCACTCGTCATTTTAAAGTTTGTTTGCAGTAAACTCAAGAATAACCATTCATTCTATATTTTGCTATTTTCTCTATTATGAAGTTATGATGTGAATATTTGTTAATATACATTTTTATATGTGTACAGAACAATATTGGTTGGTTCGTTAAGTTACGGTCACGATATTATGATGCTGAACATTGTCTTTAAGGATCAGACAATTACAAAAAAATTAAATTCAGAAAATATTTGAAAACAAATAATATGATTAAAAAAATTAATAATAACATTTTTTTAAATAAGTAAAGAAAATTAAATTAAATCTGATTTTAATTACGGTAGATGTTTTTTAAGCCGTTCACTTACAGTGCATGTGAGCACTACACAGTACACTGATTTAACTGTTGTTGATCATTGTTTGGTACTTGTTGCACGTCAAGGTTGATTTGTTTTATCCTGAAACTGAGCAAATAGTTCTTTAATTCCATAGAAAAAATAAACAGCTGCTGAGGCCATGTTTTCTTAGTTTCGCTACATGTACTTTCAATATACCCTTCCAGAGAAAAATGCAAGGACACTTTTTTACAGGATGTATATGTATAGGGTACATGTGTAACTTTTATAAGTATTTGACAATTGGATAAAATAATTTTATTGAAAGGGGAAGATCACAATCCCTGGGATTTCACCAAGGAATCGTGGGATATCATATTTACACTAATTAATCTGTTAAATTAGTGATTATGTACATATAGTCTTTTTTAAATAATTTTAATATTAACAGAACTTAAGTTTCTGATTTTGATTTTCTGATAAACGTGTTTGGTTTCCCATACAATAGGTGTACCCGTGATATGTATGGTCTTTTGAAATTAGTCACATAACAACTGACTTAGTACAGGTAGTAAGTAAACTGGTTTGAGGATGTAGTCGAGGTTTTTTTCTTTGAAAATATCAAATTTACATTTTTTTCCACATTCTCTTATACGAATATATAAAGCATGCACTCAACTAGAAAAAACAATTGTAGCAATGGTTTAAGAGGGTAATACATTTTGAGTAAATCTGAGATACAGTGTGTTTTATGTTTTTTGTGGTTTATCACGCATACGAAAACATCGGTATTTGGGGTTAGTCAAGAGAGTTGATCTTGACTCCCAGCTGCTCCATGACGATGATTTTTGACATAGAATTGGATTATCATAATAAGCGAGTGAAGTAAATAAATAATTAAATAAAATTGTTAGAAAGGGGGGCGGGTTCTCACCTTGAGATTCAACAGCTTCTTTGACATTGATGGCACAAAATGGATCAAACACTTCACCATCATCAACCATCTTTCGACTTCCTGGTTCCACTTGCAACAATTTGACTCGGATGAAGCCCATCTTGAAGCTGACGTTCAGTACCATTAATATAAAATAAATAAAATTAAACATTAATATTGCTAACATATTGGTAGATATATATAGGGTTTGTTCTCTTGTATATTTATATATATAAATAGAACATTTTATGAGGGCTACTGTAATACTTTTGTACTCTGAAGTGATACTTTTATTTTTCAGATTAATTTAAAATGTCACATATATTGGTTCTACATGTATTGGAAGCACATCTAGAATGAAGAAGGGCATGTGAATCAAAAATAAATTAATAATTTGCTGGATTATTCAAATATAACTTGTTTTGATTCTTTATAATTGTGGCAAATATGACACTACATTTGATGGGGGAAGAAATATGTACAACATGTGAGTATATGTATGAATAGTGATACCATAATGTATACATCAAAGTAAAAATTAAGTTACATCATTTGTAAGTACATTGTTAATAACATGTACGCATTTAACAGTGTAAATAAACATAACCCCCACCCCTCCAAAACCAATCACTACAACCCCCCACCCCCACCCCCCACATAATTAGTCTTTTCAAGTACAAGATTAAGGCAATGCAATCAGTTAATCAGTCACATTTTTGAAAAAAAAAAAATATTTTTTTATCTGCGCATATAAAAAAACTACTGAAACTGTCATATTTTTTTACAAAGAGGTCCATATAGTTGACTTTCAAAAAATCTCAAACAAATTTTCTAATTCAACAAGTAATGCCACAATAATCAGCATAAAGTAATATCACGTTTATCAAAAAAAAAAAAAAAATGTTCACCTTCAAGCTTCAATTCTAACAGATTCAATTCAACAATTATTAACACATAAGCAAACAGGAACTAAATTATATACCTAGTAATAGACATCCATTGTTTAAAAATTTACAATACTGGTAAACAATGTTGCAATTGATTACTAATCACTCAGTTCCCCCCAAGATCTTACTTGTACAACCTATGTTTACATCAATATCTGTATTATGTGGGAAGTATATTCATGAGCACCCAGTAGTGAAACAATATACATAACAATTATTGTGAAAAAAAAAAACACGTCAAAAGTCTGGAGAGGTGTTTTTAATCAAACAAACCAGGGCTTAGTCTAGCCTGGATTTTACCCTGCCATCAAGCTTTACAAAATGTTAGGGTACATAATCAAATCAAGTTTTTTCTCTTTAAATATCTATAGATATATAGATATGCTAATTTTTGTGTTGGTTCAAAAAGTAAGCTGTTAAAATCTTTGAAGTAGTTGGTCAACAGGAAGTGCTCTGCCTGCTGCCAAGTTTCAAATGATGACATCATGCACATATTTAAACAATGTTTTTTTCAGTAATTTGCAATGTCAAAAGAAACATACAGGAAATGAACAATGCTATAAATATTTACACTTTGTATGAAAATTTGCGAATATTTGTCTCTCTTGGAAAATTAAAATCGGTTCAATTCATCAAGTAAGAGAACCGAATCAACTACATAATCAATTATCAAATCTATTACATCACAATTTATCAAATAGCCACCCAGGGACCATTGTGCAGATTGACAAATCTGACAACATCCAGACGGAAGTGAAAACTAATGAAACATCCAGGAAAATATCAATTTGGATTATTTCTATCAGTATCCAGGGCTTCACTAAATGCACTTACAGGAAACAACGTACATAAAAGAAAATCAGAATACATTTATCCTTCTATGATTACATATATCCTGAGGCATATGACTTATTATGGTTCCTTGAAAAATAAATTTAAAAAGCTTATAAAGTAGTCCTATGAGCTGATGGTACATGTATTGGGGACAGATAATAATCATAATTTTAAAGCTCATTTTTTACATTTAGTTAAAAGCAAAAAATTATAATTCATGAAATATACATTTTTATAAAGTTATTAAAAGAATGTATATAAAGATAAATAATATAAATTTAAATATCTCTCTCTCTCGGTATATATAGCCAGCTAATTTTTTAATAATATCTGATTGAAAGTATATAAGAATATAATTTTATTGTTTCTTCTCTGGTACACGTGGCACCTTGAGAAATATTTATTGACAAATATCTTCTATTAAATTGTCATCACAATTTTGGTGTACTGGAGACAAGATTTATTTAACAAAATTAATTCAAAATTTGAATAAGGGCTTAAATGAGGCTATTGTTTTTTTACATGTTTAATCAGATTTAACTCTAGTCATAAGGTGTGCAGTTCATGAAACTGGTTAATTATTATGCAAATTGCATCACTATTAGGCACGTAAAATGAACCAAATATATACCGGGGGGGGGGGGGGGGGTAGTAGTGTTCATGCTATGTGAAGTAAGATTTAGGCTAATCTCATATGTTTGCATATAGATAGATCCAATTGTGTTCATGCACAGGAAGAAACGGTGGTTAGCATATGGGCTAAGGAACCCCTAAACTTGTTAAGAATACACAAGATCTTCAGTCATTTTAACTATGAATACTCAGTAAAGCAACTAGAAAGGTATACATGTTAGTTTTACGGTTATAAGACAATACCAAAATGAATTCAGACAGAGCAGATTACAGAATTACAGGAAGAAGCACAGAGTCTCATCATCAGTTAATTTCTTTCTCAAGAATAAAGATTGTCATGTCAGAAATGGCATACTGAAATGAATAGTTAATGTACAATATAATAAAATATACCGGTAATAGTGCATCTCCCAAATGAACATTGAATACAATGATGTTTTGGGCGCTTAGTCCGAACTAAGCGTTCACGCACATTTTTTTAGCCCATGCTAAGGATCTGGACCAGATTTAATCTTGTTTCTTAGCCTGTGCTAAGTGTTCATGCATGTTTTGTTAGCACGGGCTAAAGTATCTGACTAAGGAGTTGTGCATGAATGCTACGGTACTACAAACCAGGTCAGATCATATTATCCCAAAGTATGCAATTTACTCAAATGTACTGAATCCAACAGTGGACCATCTGAAATTCCATATACAAGATTCTCTCTGATATGAGAATAGAATACGATTATTAAAATTGCACTAAATGAGAACTGAAAAAACTACGCATCAAATGATATATATTTATTAATGCCTTTCTGTTTAGTTCCCTAAATAATCTCTGTAATGCCTTTGAATGAGAAAGTCAACATTTGTCACATTTCAGGAAATAAATGTATAAAAAGACCTGTAGGCAACAGACAAGTATTAAACAATGTGGAAAAGACTGCTCCAACATTTTGGTAAGTTCAAAGGATGCAGATTGTAAATCACAGAATCAACAGGTCTGCCAAGCTTGAACTTCATAGAGGTAACAACAGTAATTGCCTAGACGCCCAATGCATATGCCTTGGTCAGATTGGTTTCCTTTAATATTATTTGTAAGGTTACATATGATCAAACAAGGAAGCAATATCGGTAATCCCAATTAGTTATCGCTAAATTCTTTCTCTTTCATATCAAACTGTCTTGAATTGTGTATTGTATATATACATTTGTGAACAGTCTCTAAATTAACCTTCTGATAATGTAAACTGCGTTAATTTTGCAAGAGATAGATTTTTGTGAATTTTGCGAATCACTAAAATTTTTTTTTTTTTGTGGTGAATATGTTTCTGGCATTTTACGAGTGTCAGTGATTTTTGGAAAATTTTGTTTTCACTAAAACCATAGAATTCTGTAATCGCTAAAGTTTCTATCTGTGAAAATCAATTGGTTTAAATTATGAATAATTATTTTTGAATCCAGATTTGGTTTAAATTAGTAGTGAGATGGTTGTAGAATTAATGTTAATGCAGGTATATATACAAACCCAAAAAACATGTTGAACAGTTTAATATACAAAGATTTGAAACAAATTTTATTTTGTGTCAATAAGAAGTAAAATTACAGTAGATTGTTAGCATTAGCATGTGGTGGTTTCCTGTTACAATACATAAAACTAAATATTTATTGATTATGGGAAAAAACAGGTGGCTCAAGAACTGTAAAATAATTTATTTTAGCTGGAATTAATTTTTGCTAAAAGATATTTCTGAGCATTTTCACTGAAATACAGACAAAAAAAGGTATTTCCAACCAGATTTTATTTTTACTGATTCATTCAGCGAAAATAGCCAAAATAAATCCCAAGTGAAAATACAAGTACTTCAGTAATAGAAGATTGTCAATAAATGGAAGGGTTACAACCACCCTAATTTGCAAGAGACACATTTACAAGTCAAGGAAAATCATAAAATTTAGTTACTTAGACACAGAATCAGAGGGACTTGTTATGGATAACTTTACAGCAAAAATATCTATTGCCAACAAACCAAATTAACTAGATAGAGTACAACACAGATATACTGGGGTAAAATTTAAAATAACCTTTATACAGTGGAGTGTAATGAACTATTATAAAACACCTAAGTTTAGTTATTAAACTATTATTTACCAGTAAGTGAATTTAACAATTACAATTAACCATGGACCATGTAGATATGTATACACCATAGACCCTAAAAAAGTGGGTTCCTTTCCTCTAGGGTATATGTTTACACTAATGGCAGGTATATGCACTTACAACCAGTACATGTAACGGTATGTCTATCCCTATACAAAGTTACAGTGATTGAGCTACACACTGCACCTACCTGTATTCGTGTTAAAGTCTTCAATTGTGTATGCAACTAAATGACTTAGTATGTATGTCTCTCATATAAACTCCACACAAAGTTATTTTTAGAAACAGACCTAATGGTGGTGGGCAGATAAAGGTCAATTAATTAAGACCTAAATACTAGTATGTCATACTGGTGTGATACACTTGTGAGTGAATCAGCTATGTACATCAGAACAACTAAACTCACGACACAATTTACATGACAACAGAGTTATGACATCAATTCAAACCCCAACTAAAGGTTGACCCATATATAGGAATAAAACTGCCCAGTTTACAAACAGATGACTCAGGTTACTCTTTACACATGTGCTGATTGCTTTGATAAGTCAATAGATCATGAACTTGTAGTGATTCCCACTCTTTCCAGCAAGGTGCCAATAAATGAATGAATCAGTGAATGAATGACCCCTCCCCCAAGCTAAGAAACCCTGGGGAAGTATGTATGACAGCAGTACCCAACATTAAATGTTATTTTTGTCTCACCTGACTTAATTTGTGTCATCTGTAAATGTTAATTATTATGTGAACTCCTGACAAAGTCTGGAATGTGCCTGGTAGAATTGTATTCTACTGATGGTAGCGCAAAAAACAACCCAAATGATGATCAAGCTAAGAAGACACAGTGCATTTATAAAAAGTATGATAATGAATAACAGTGAGGTTATACTGCATCACGACACACAGGTGTGTTATGTGATGGAAACACTCCTTGTAGGGATATGTTTGAAAGCTGTGATTACAGCCATGGTTGAACATGTTAACAACAATGACAACACACTTTTGCATGCACGGGTGACGCCTATGCTGTGATGCTGTAAATGCATGAAATAATATCCAGAAATATATCATTATGTTTCCCATGAATAGATTAGTCAGTGATTGAAACACTGCCAGAAGGTTTTAATTTGTTATTTTTGATACCACTTAGCCATGAAACATTTACTGAACTTTTAACAAAAACCTTCCGATCAATATTACATATAAATGTCAATCATAAATAAATTTGAACAGATAGAGGAATGATTGATCACTCTCACAAATAATTCATTCATTATTGCAGTGATGCATCTCTTGGGATGACATACACTGTAGCCTCGCTATAACGAACTCTTTGGGGGACATACAATTAGTTTATTATAGTGAAATGTTCACTATAATGAAGTACATAATACATTGGGTTTGTTGTGAGCGGGAGACATATGCTATGTGTTCATTATATCAGGAAATTCATTATAACGGTGTTCATTATATTGAGGTTATAGGGTACTAAATTTATCAACTAATGAAATAAATAAACTTTATAGAGTACTCTTAGCTCAACAAAGTTATTCTCTTCATCTTTATAAATAATTTCACAATTCAAAGTTAAACAAGTTTCTGTGGTCGATTGATAACAGTAAATTGTTTTCAATTATGTCATT